CGCAAGAACGCATCCGCGCAAAATAATATAATTCTTTGTCCAAAACAAATTTAGTTTTGGTTTTGGACAAAGTTTTGGACATGGTATCCAAAAGCCAAAACTATCTAACACTGATATAAATAATATATTATTTCATATTATAAATCAAAATAATTCTATTTTTTTTTATGTTGATATATTTATAAATTCTGAAACTAAATTTAATACTATTAATAATTAAACTAAATAATATTAATAATTTGAAACTGTATTATAAAAAATTTAAACCACAATCTAGTCTAACATCAACAAAATGTTGCGAAAATATAGTTTGAAGCATCAAATATTGTTGATGAGATTTTGGAAATCAATTATAAATCGCATCAGTGGTGTTGAACACCATATAATTTTTAATATAATTTTGTTATCAATACTTATGGTTAAGGTTAAACATTAGGATAAAATTAGAAGCTATAGACTAAAAATTAAGGCTAAAAATAAAATTTGGGTAAGATTTTTTGGGATGCTGAACATTTTACTTAATACATTTGATCTTGGTTATTTAGACAGTTTTTGAGATATAGCAACTGTGGTGTTAAACACCACTGGTGTAATTTAACAATTTAGCCTTCAAGAATATAAACATACAACGTATCTTGTTTATATTTTTATCAAGTTTAGTCGTGAGTATTGTCGAAAACATTAGCCTATACGTAAAGGTTTTATTCTGAATATTTCTTAAGATCCAAAAGATGAATGCATTAGTAAAATTTTGAAATATTTATTTTTTTTTTTGATGATTTCTCAAAATTTTACTAATGCAACCATCCTATAGCTCTTAAGCAAAATTTTTAGTGTGATTTGCATAAAAATTTTAACAGCATAATTTAAATTTTCTAAATATAAAATATCACAAATAATAAAATGTCAAATTTTTATTAATAAAATTAGCCACCTCACATTGAATACGACGAATAATAGAATCCACCCAGGCAATATCTATATTAATCCTAATAAGCATAATATGCTGGTAATGAATAGCATAAATGGTGTATTATATCATTATTAAGGTTAATGGAAAGCGTCTCACAACGATCCCAGACGCTTTTGCACAGAGAAAAAAAGCGAACATATTAATAAAATGTTCACACAACATTACGTATGTTTGCACATATATAAAACCAAACATAAATGCAATAATTAGATAGCGTAAGAAAGAGAAAGTGCATATAAAGCAATACTAGACAATGCAAAGAAACACGAAAAAACATGTCATTACATGCATTCTGGCACGGAATCTATGTGTAGTTCTGTGTAGTTTTCTATTGATAAATATCTGTGTTCAGTCTATTCTTCCATGCTACGTTTAAATATATCAGCTATTTTTTCTATACAAAGAAAACATTTGGTAAAATAAATCAGCTAGTAATAAAACGGTACGATATCTTTTGGAACACTAACCAGGATCACATTGTTTAGCCACCTCACGCTCTTCAATAGAAAGTTTTTCTGAAGTAAGTTTAAACATCTTGAACAATTTATCAAGAATATCTTCTTGCTTTTCATTTGTTAATTGTTTATTTTGTTTTTCTGTTGGCTGTTCACCATCTTGCTGTTTTTCTGTTGGTTGTTCACCATCTTGCTGTTTTTCTGTTGGTTGTTCACCATCTTGCTGTTTTTCTGTTGGTTGTTCGCCATCTTGCTGTTTTTCTGTTGGCTGTTCACCACCATGCTGTTTTTCTGTTGGTTGTTCACCATCTTGCTGTTTTTCTGTTGGTTGTTCACCATCTAGATATTCATCTATGGTTGAAATATATATCTCACCTGATATCATATTGTCTTGATGTATCAATTTATATACCTCCTTAATTTCCGGGCGCAATTTGGGATCTCCATCCCAACA